AATAACAATAGTATAATAAGAAATATATAATCTGATTGAAAAGAATAAAAAGTAAAAGACCAAGAATAGTGTGTTATTTGGAATACAAATGAAGTGAAAGAAAAAAAATTAAAATGCAACATGAAAGGGAAAATAAAAATATAAAACAAACAATAACACAAGCACAAAAAATGAATAAATGGAAAGACAAAAGTGAAATAAGAAAAACATGCAAGTTCTAGTGAAGAGCAAAGTAAAATTTGTCTGAAGTGTTGGTGTTCGCCTTCTGACTTCTTTCTGGATCTGTCTCTGGTTTTCTCTCAGCTCCTGGTCTTACTTTCTTACTCTTGAAAAAAAACATCTGTCCAGCTGGTTTTGCAGATCTTTCTGGTTCCTGCAGGAAGAGGGGCTCTGGCTCTCTGTTTTTCCCTTCTTGTGGTTCTGCAATGATTGGAGCTCAATCTGGGCTACAGTAATCACAGGTTCCCAATTTCTAGCCCAGGGCCTCAGAGCACTGTGCAGCCAGTACTCTCCACTCTGCACATTTATACCGAGCCAGCGTCAGTAAGCCATCTTGCTTTGAGCCCCTTTGATCAGCCCATGAGGTACACTGAGTGGTAGCAAATTGCACCTACCCTTCTCCCTTCATGGGTGAAGTCCCTGCACGGTACACCTCAGTTTCCCATTTGAAAAGTCTTCTCAGTGCCATTGCCACTCTGAGCCATCACCCAGCTTTCCACACAGTCTATCCCTCTGTCAAATCCAGAGACTACCTGGGTCATGGCCATTCGCAGCCCACCTCCTCTTCCAGCTGTAGGTGTCACCAGGATACCCCAAATTCTATGGCAATGTCTTGGCTGGTGACCCCCACCCCAGCCTGGGTATGCTGCCATCTGTGTGTTGCGTGGTGCCTTTTTTTCCTCCTAGCTACTTTATGCATCCAGGTTTCTGTTGGTGCAGATCTGAGATTTCCCTGTCCTTGGAAAGGAGGGAGCTGCTAGGCTGCTGTTACTAACCCAGCTCTCCTCCAATGTACCTGCAGCAACCTTGGTCCCCAGTGCCAGGCCTGAGGACCTTCCCATGGGCCTATAAAACCTCCTTACTGCCCATTTTGAAGTGTCCTGTGCACACTTTGGCTTCTAAACTATGTATCAGCTTAGATTATTTTGACTGTTCACTTTGTCCTTGGAAATCAGCTAATTGTCCCACTTGGGAGCATGAGCAAGTAGGCTCAGCTCCCACCTACATTACTGCCATCTTCTCCCCTCCCTCCTAAATTTTCATTTGGAGCTGCCTTGTTACCTTTGTTATTCATGGTATTTGATGGATTTCTTCTCTTTCTAGACATCTATGCATGAGTGGTACTTCTCTAGTAGAGCAATAAGAAGTCTATGTGTTTCTAGTAGGCGGCACTGAAGTACAAGTTTTTTAATGCTCTTGCACTGCTCTCACTCTTTTGATCTCTGCAGAGTAGTGGAAGATGTCCTACAAAGGTGTCCCTACAAAGGTGGGCATCTCCTCTGTCATCAGGTGACCTTGTCTCCAAGCACCAACCTACAGGGAAATGCAGTAGGCAGTGGGGTTTCAGATCTGTGAAATCCCAACACTGGTTTTTGTAGCCAGATGCTGCTTGACAGTGTAGCTGCTTTTGGGTGGGGGTAGGGTGAGCTTAAAAGCTAGCTGGTGCTTTTGTGGTTTTTTCCTCCCCATACTGGTGGCTGGTAGGCCTCAGCAGCCTCCTCTCTCTATCTCCAGTTATCCCTGGGATTAACCACAGAGCATGTCTGTCACTTGGGGAAAGTATTTCTGTTATTCCAGTTTTCAGATTTGTAGATAATGTGCTATTCAACCCCATACTCACTGCTACAGTTTCTTCTGGGGCCTACTGCTAGCTCCAGGAGTGTGAAAGGAGGCAGCCTGGCTCTGTGGCTTTCTTTTTCTACCTAGTGAAGGCAATGCCAGACAACCATGACTGCACCTCTGTGCTTTGTTTGTGCCCAGGTCTCTGGGTTCAGCTGACCACTCCCACAGGAGTGTTCACTGTTTCTTTCTTCTCCTAGCTGAAGGGAATGTCAGCAGCAACCTGATCCCTTCCCTCTCCAGAGACCCACAGTGAGCCCTAGCTGTGTCAGTGGCAGTCTCAGCTCTTTACTTTTTCTTCCTTTTTGGTTTGCTCCCACTCTATCACCTTCAGATGTTTAAATGCACAGGTCTCTTGATGTGTTCATATATGGAGCAGGGATTCTTTTGTTGAATTACAGCTGTTTAAAAAGTTGTAACTTCATGGGGAGAGACCAAGGGAATCTTTCATACTGCCATTTTTCTGACATCCCTCTATTGTTTTTTAAATATCGTTTCTTATAATAACTTTTTCAACAGATGGCATATATTTATAATAATCAGTTTAATGTGCTTACCCATTTTAACATGTGTTTCAGTTCTAGGTATATTTCAATTGATTGTTTTTGTCATAATGCATCATATTTTCCTGCTTCTTTACATTGTAGGGTCTTGGATATTTCTGTATTCAATGAAATACTCCTGAAATTTGTTTTTGAAGAATTGAGGTACTTCAAAATGGTTTGATTCTTTTATGCCTTCTTTGCTTAGTCCACAGTTATTTATTCCCCACTAATGAGGCAATACCTTTCTTTATAATCTCCTCACTGCCCTATGAATCTTAAATTGTTCTAGTATGGCTGGTGGAAATAGGCAACCTTCTTGGCTCTAGGTGAGTGCCAAGTACTGGTCTTTCTAATCTTTAAATTGTTCTTTCTTTAGCCTCTGGTAGTTTTCTAACAGGTATATGTTGATTATTTCTTATCTGAATACTCCAGTGGGGATCACTTTAGATCTCCAAGTTTGTTTCTGCATGCGTCTGTCTCCTCTTTAGTATTCTCTTTCTGCACCTTACTAGACTCTCAGATTTCTATCTTCAACTCAGGTAGACTAATGGAATCTGACTGAGTTACTCAGTTCTGTGTCACAGCTTTGAAACTATTTAGGTAAGCCAGGGCAGTCATGGAGCCTACATTACTTGTTTTTCAGTTCTCAAGAATCCATTAACCTTTATTGCCTGGTGTCTGTTATAAATAAATACTTGTTTCACATGTAATGCCATCACCCTTTGCACTTTTTAGGCCCTTTGTTTTATTATTTTTACCATAATTCATAATTATTTTTATGCACCTTTACTCTTTTCCCTATCTCCCTTTACCAAAGCTTCATTAAAGCATGGACTATGTATCACTTATTTCTAGATGTAACTCTAACACATAACACAATGCCTCGTACACAATGGGCATTCAGTAAATAGTTTTTGAATGAAGAATGATCACTTATGTTCTAAACTAATTAATTTGAGTTGGTGATTTATTGCATACAGTAGTTAATAGCAGTGAAGTATAGGGTTATATTCAGGTTTCTGGTTTGTACATCTAGGTGAATTTGGAAGCCATTCACTGATCTAAGGAGTACAGTTGAGTACTATATATTTAGGGCTTGATAATGAACAGAGTTTTAAACATACTAAATTTGAGATGGTATAAATACTTAAACATATGTTCCTGGTAGGCATTTGAAGATATAGAACTACAACTTTGGAGAGAGATTATGATTAAAACAGAATATAGTATTATCACTATCTATAAGGTAATTGAATTCATAAGAGAAAATTAGATTCCCTAGGGCAGCTGATTTCTGGAACGATGATTATTTCCTCTGGAAGGTTGTCATAACCAAGGGAAGGAGTCCTACTGGCATCTACAAGGAAGTTCCTAAATATCCTATAAATTACAGGATAGCCCTCCCCAAACAAAGAATACTTTAATCTAAAATGTCAATAGTGTTACTATTGGGAAGTCCAAAGTTTGTAGACACACTCTCCTGGATGGTCTATTGTTAATTTGGCAATATTAACACCTTTTTCTACGGTTTTTCCTACATCGCAAGAGAGAACCTATGAACTGCATTCCCTGAAATTTCATTCTCTGTTTGCTTTGTAGTTAGGATTTGCTAATGAGAGGTACCTACAGGCAGATTTTAGATCACTGAGGTGAGTTCTTGGAAACCACAGGATTTCTAATTTCAGACCAAAGTACTAGGAGTTTCCAAAATACACTTTAGTAGGGTTTTCAAACATTTTTTTCTGTAAAGCACTGGATAACTACTTTAAAGTTCATATAAACAGTGTGTGACATACATTTTTTTTTAATTTTATTCTATTTTATTTTTTGTTGTTCAAGTACAGTTGTCTCCATTCCCCCCCCACCCCCACCCCAGCCATCCCCACTTCTCACTCTTGATCCTGCCTGCTTTGGTTTTGTCTGTGTTTCCTTCATACATGTTCCTGAAAACCCTTACTCTTCCCCCCCATTATCCCCTCCCACCTCCCCTGTGGTTACTGTCAGTCTGCTCTTAATTTTAATGTCTCTTGTTATATTTTGCTTGTTTGTTTTGTTGATTAGGTTCCACTTATAGGTGAGATCATATTCTTTTTATTAATTTTTTACAAGTCTTTAAAAACATAAAAACCATTGTTAGCTCATTGGCTGTATGAAAACAGATGATGGGCCATATATGAGTTTGCCAACTCCTGCTTAGAATCTTAAGAATTTATGGGCATGTTTTTGTGAATCATCAAACTTCTGGCTGAAATAATGTCATCAACTCTTCTGATTGTTGGTGGCAGCTTCTGTGAGCTTCCCAGCTTTTGCTTCAATTGAGTGAGCTCATAAATAATATGTTACAAGTCTTCATATATAGAATATAGACAGATATTCTTCATTTTCATTATCAAATATGGATAGGTATACAAAGCACTGTACCTTCACACTTATTTTGACTATCATACAAACTCAGTGCACCTGCAAATATTGTTTCATGTTCAGAACATTATTTTTTTGCAATATGAGTCTGATATAATGTTGATTCTTCTTGATATGAAACAATCATATCAAGAGGATATGATTGTCTTTTATAAGCGATAATGCAGGTATCATTTTAATTGTTTTATTTCTTAGGAATTTGGTGACAAAGTAGCAGTAAACGACATATCTTTGAACTTGTATAAGGGGCAGATCACTATTCTTCTAGGAGAAAATGGGGCAGGAAAAACCACAACCTTGTCTATTCTCACAGGTATGTATTCAGCTCTGTTCTGAGCAAAAGTCACATTCCTTCTAAGACTGTAAATCAATCATTAACTTTTGGTGTTGAGTATGTTGTTCTAGTGTTTGTGTTATTATATTTTCAATTACTTCCAAGCAAGATGCTCAGGTGATATAGTAATTTTTTTTTTCATTTATTCAGTGAAATATGTTATATGCAAATTCTTTCATAGGAATTTATAATACAGTGGTGTTTACAAGGTTGTTATACCCTATTTTATACTCTAATGGAAAAACAGACACAAATCTTGAAACTTACACCATAAGTTAGAAGGTAGATATTATATCAATATGTAGGATGTTATTCACTCAATACAATGACACCCACTGTGTTTTGGTGATGAGAAATAGGGAAGTGACATCAAATCTAAGGCAAATAGAAGGCATAAAGGACTATGAAAGGAAGGAGAAAAGAATATTATGAGTATAGTGAAGACCAGAAGAATTAAAAGCAGAAATTAACTATATAACTAGATCAAATAAGGAATTTAATGGCAAAAGATGAATCTGTATGCATACTCAAAAGGCCAAATCAAAAGAGGTTTGAGGGAATCCATGCTATGAAGTTTAGAATCTAAACTTCTAAACTTTTAGAATCTAAACTGAGAGAAATAAGAAGCTATAGAAGGATATTTTATGAAGTTTTATACTTTAGAAACATTACATTCACCAGGAAGGAAGAAAAGTTAAGGAATACTCAGGACCATTAGGATAGTGAATCCCAGGCTGTGTGTTAAATAAGTATAATTCTGAGAAACTGGAACAGGGCTGAGCCTAATAATTGATATAAAATAGCCTCTTCTTAATACAAAATTAATGTCAAAGGAGATTTCAAAATGGTTGCAGAGTAGTTGGAAGCTACACCCACCTATTCATGGCTACAAACCATATTTACAGCAAAATTCCAGAGCAATCAACCTAAATAAACAACTAAAGATTCTGGAAGATGGTGGCGAGGTAAGTGGGAGCTGAATCCATTTGCTCATGCACCCCACTGGGACACCTAGCCAATCCTCTGAAGAACAGACTGAACAGCCAGCAGAATCCCAGCTTATATGAAGTTTGGAAGCCAAAGATTGCAGAGGATGTTGAAAAACAGATGGTAAGGAAATTGCATAGGGATGATAAGGTCCCTGGAACCTGTGCCAGGACCATGGCTGCTGCAGTCCCCTGGCTTGGTGCCAGGGATGGTGGCTGCTGCAGAAGCTTTGGAGGAGAGCTGAATCAGTGATTGTAACTTCACATCTCCTTCCTTTCCAAGAGCAGGGAAGCCACTCCCACACCAGGAGAGACCTGGATGCATGAAGTCACTGAGGGGAATAAAGACAACAATGGGAGACACACAGGTGGTGTTCCCCCACTGAGACTGTGGTCGCTGGTTGAGACAGTACCAGAGGAATTGGGGAACCAGGTGACAGCTAGAAATGAGAGAAGAGTTGGGCCGCAACAGACCCTGACCCAGGTAGTCTCAGGACTGATCAGAGAGTTGGGCTATGTGAAAAGCCAGGAGCTTGTAAAGAATAGACAGCTGCAACAAAGGGTAATTTGCAAAAATAATAATTAAAAAAAAAAACAGCTTGCAGCCACTGTGCAAGGAACTCTCACCAGCAAAGAGGGAGTAGGAGGGGTGTGATTTGCTCCAAATCAGGGCACCTCATGAACTGATCAAAGTGGGGCAGCAGGGTCTTAGAGGGGTATCAGTCCTCAGAGAGGCTTAATTTAATAGGGGAACTATATTGCCCTGAAGGGACTCTGCATGTGCACAGCACCCAGACCAGCAAAGAGGGAGAAATGCTGCCAGTTGCTCCTATGTAGTGCACCTCACTGACTAATCAAAGGGTGGTACAAAGTGAATTAAAGGCGCCAGCATGGCACCTATGTACAGTGGGGGCTGCACAGCACTCCGAGGACTTGGGCTATAGGCCGGACACCTGTGAATATTGGAGCCCAGACCTAGCCCCCAGTGCAGAACCACAAGAAAGGAAAAAAAAATGGAGCCCAGGCCTCTTCTGCCTACAGCATCCAGAAAGACCAGCAGAACCGCTTGGTGGGTTTAGAGTCATCAGGAGGCTTTTTCCCCCTTTTTTCTTCCAATGTAAGACAATAAGTCCTGGAGCTGTAAAAGAATCAAAGACAGAGCTAGAGAGAAATCTAGGCTAATGCCAAGAACTGAGACAAAATTCACTTCACCATCCTACAAACTTGCATTTTATTTTTTACTTTTACTTTTATTTTGTATTTTTTGTTATTTTTTATTCTTTTACTTTCTTATTTATTTCTTTTCCTTCTGTGTAGTTTTCTTTTTTTTATTGTTTTATTTCACTGTTTAGCTGGTTTTCTTTGTTCTCCCTTTCATGTTGCATTTCAATTTCTCTTCTTTCACTTCGCTCATTTTCCTATACACACACTACTCTTGGTCTTTTACTTTTTATTCTTTTTATTCAAATCATATATTTCTTGTCTTATTATTGTTGTTCCAAATCCCACACAGCATCCTTCCCTGGTCTTGGTCCACTACCTCCCTGAGCTTTATTACTATTGTGGTTAACTTCATTCTCTTGCACACTACCCCAAATTTCTATCCCTTACTCTCACTATATATCACCATCTAACCTAGCATAAGCACTCTGCTTTCTGAAGTCAGCTCACATTCTGTTATCCCTCTAACAAGAGTCTTATCTCTTTTTTACTTTTTAAAACAATTAACTTGTTTGGTAAAATACCATGGTTATTGATGTACTTCTCCAGAGGATCTCCTATCTGTTCTCTACTTGTTGATACTTTAAATCCCATAGAATACTCTCCTGCTGTCATAATCCACTCCACCTTTGCCCTGTCCCAGATCACATACAAGACAAGGTGGGACTTCTGCATACCAGTAAACCCCCTAGAGGAGAGAATCCAGCAACAAAGAAGCCACCAACCAGTAAAACCCAAGTATAACAAGAAAGCCCACTCAAACGGGAAAAAAGGTCAATTCTAGAGCACCCAGATGAGGAAATCAAAGAGATCACACCACTGAGTCCCATAGAACTTGCACCATAAAAGTTCACCATACGAAGACAGCTAGCAAAGCAGAACATCAGGAATCTCACAAACAAATGAAGATTCACCTAAAATAGGAAGGCAAAGAAAGAACCTGAAATTGAAAGGAATAGAAGACTCTCCAGTGAAAGAGCTAAATGAAATACTGACAAGCAAACTATCAGATATAGAATTCAAAAAAATATAAGGATGCTCAAGGAACTCACAACTACAACAAACTGGGTGAGCACTACAATAATATGAAAAAGGAAACAGAAACTATAAACAAGAACCAGGAAGAAAAGGGGAATACAATTTCTAAAATAAACACACTAGAAGGAATTACAAGCATATTGGATGAAACAGAGGACCAAATTAGTGAGGTAGAAGACAAAGTAGAAAGAAATAACCAGGTAGAGTAGCTGCATGAAAAAAGACTAAAAATTATGAGGATAGCTTAAGGGGACCGAAAGACAACATGAAATGCAACAACATTTGATCTTAGGAATACCAAAAGGAGAAGAAAAAGAGTAAGGGATAGAAATGCTGTTTGAAAAAATAGTGACAGGAAAGTTTCCAAAGTGTGTGTGTGTGTGTACTTGTCAAAGTTTTATGCCCTAAAAAGCAGGAGAAATAAGGTTTGGATTGTTCTAAGAAAAACAAAAACAAAAAACTGAAGACTAGCTGAATTGAATTATAATAAACAAGGATTTACAGAAGAAATCACAAACAGACCAGTAAGAAGAGAGGAGTTGTGGAAAGTGATAGTCCTCACACTCGGGTGCAGTGGCAGCTGAGAAGCCAGAGAGATATCACTTCAAAACTCCCTCCCCCTAGGAGCATGGAGTCTAAACCTCATACAGGGATTCCCAACTCAGGGGAACAGAGATGGAAGGAAGAGCCCATGTAGCATCTGGCAGTGAAAATCAGTGCAGATTCAGTTCACCTGAGAGACTCAGTCCACAACCCCTCAAGGATGAGTGCTCATACTGTTACAGCACTATCCTGGGGAGTGCATGGTCTGGACTAACTGCTAGCAAGGCCATACTGCCATACTAGTGTCTGCAGAGGGGTCTGCTGGCTACACCCCCAGTGACTTTAAGGAGCCCTCTTTTCTCTGGGGAAGTTCTTCCCAGATACCCAGAGAGTGACTAAACTGTATAGCTTGGAAAATAGAACCAGTCTCCCTTACCTCAAGAACACAACCAGTGCCCCTCCCTCACCTATTGAATCACTTAGCTTAGCTTTGTATTGCTGAGTTCAGAGCCACACAAAGCTGAGCCCGAGCCCCATCCCACTGAGTTCAGCTGCACAGAGAGATCAGAGTGCCACACAGGGCTAGGACTTTTGTCCCAATCTGCCTAAGTTAGGTGGTGCAAGAAAACCACAGAGACATGCATATCTGGGTTTTTCAAACTGTCTCCTAGGGAAGATCTGACCAAGAATCAGGCAGGCAAGAGCTGAGCTATGTGGCTACATGGGAGGCAAATCCAATCTCCCCTGTGAGTTCAGTCCATGGTACCCCAAGAAGGGGAAGAAGTACCTGCCTCCCTTGTACAGGCTTGTGGGCACCACCCCCAACAGCAAAATCTAACCCAAAATCTATGGGACACGCTAAAAGCAGTCCTGTGAGAGGTTTATACCACAAGAAGCAGGAGAAATATCAAATGAACAAACTAACCCTACACTTAAAACAACAACAAATTAAGCCCAGAGGAATTACAAGAAAGGAAATAATAAATATCAGAATAGAAATAATTGACATAGAGACTAAAAGAACAAGGCAAAAGGTCAATGCAACCAAGAGCTGACTCTTTGAAAAGATAAACAAGATTGACACACCTTTCAAGATTGACATCAAGAAAATAACAGATCCAAATAGATAAAATCAGAAATGGAAGAGGAGAAGCAATAACTGGTATCACAGAAATACAAGGAATTGTCAGAAAATAGTATGAACAACCATATGCCAATAA